GGGGGGCTGGGGAGTACGGGGGGTCTGGAGGGGGGCAACATGGGGGAGCTAGGGGATATAGGCACATCCGAGGGATTTGGGGGTACATGAGGAACACAGGCGGGGCTCAGGGCGGGGGTCTCTCAGAATGGGGGTGAGGGTCTGTCCCACGCACTGACCCCCCGTTTGCCCCCCCCAGGGCAAGCCCTATGTCTTCGACCGCGTGTTCCCCCCCAACACCACGCAGGAGCAGGTGTACCACGCGTGCGCCATGCAGATCGTCAAGGGTGAGGGGCCGGGGGGCTGCGCCGGGGGGCTCCGCGCCCAGGGGCCGCATCCCCCGGCCCCGCTTGGAGGGTCCTGGGTGGTGACAGGAGCGCGTGGGGCGGGAGGGGGGTGACTGGGGGGCCCTGGGGGGCTTTGGTGCATCCTTGGGGGCTCTGTGGGGTCTGTGGGGGCTCCGAGGGTCCGGTGGGGGTGTCCAGAGGGTTCCTTGGGATCTCAGGGGTATCTCCGGGGGGTCTGGAAGGGACCTGGGGGGCCACGAGGTCCCTGGAGGCTCGGGGGTCCCGGGAGGGGGGCGGAGAAAATCCGCGGCCTCTTTTGGGCTCGGGCCTCTCTGGGAGCCTGGGGGGTCTCCTGGGAATCCCGGGGCTCCTTGGGGGTCCCAGGAGGGTCTCTGCAGTGCTGGGGGGTCGCTGGGGCTCCTCTCTGGGGTCTTGGAGGGTGCCAGGGGCTCTCTGGTGGTCCTGGGGGTCCCAGGGGGTCTCTGGGGTCCCGTGGGCTCTCTGGAGTCCCGAGGGTTCTCTAGGGGGTCTCTGGGGGTCTCAGGGGGTCGCTGGGGATTCCAGGGGGATCTCAGGGGTCCTGTGGACTCCCTGGAGCCCCGGGCGGGCTCTGGGGGTCCCAGGGGTGTTGCTGGGGGTCTCAGGGGGGTCTTTGGGGTTCCATGGTCTCCCTGGAGCCCCGGGGGGGCTCTGGGGGTGCCAGGGGGTCTCTGGGCATCCCGAGGGGTCTCTGGGGGTCC